ACGCCCCACGGCTCAACAGTAAACGCCTATCCAGCGCATGCAGAAGATGCCTCGCCCTCTAAAACCGGCCTCCCACGGCCAACGGCCACAACCGGGACACTACTCGAGACAGCCACCGCACATCTCATAGCGACAGATCCACGTATTGCAACAGTGATCGAACAGCATCCATGTCCGCTCTTCTCGCCTGCCGGCTTAGCAGAGGAAATCGACCCCTTCAATAGCCTGACCAGCAGCATCATCGGCCAGCAAGTCTCCGGCGCGGCAGCAAAGTCTATCAGGAACAAATTTCTGACACTGTTCGATTTACCTGATACTGTTGCACCTGATGGACATAGACATGCAAAGTTCCCGACACCGGATCAGGTCGCCAAGTGTGATATCCCTACCCTGCGCACAGCGGGGCTGTCACAGCGCAAGGCGGAGTATATCCAGGGACTTGCGGAAAAGTTCGCCAGTGGAGAGCTTGGGGCGAGGATGTTGGCGCGTGCTACTGATGAGGAGCTTTTTGAGAAGCTTATTGCTGTTCGTGGATTGGGGAAGTGGTCAGTTGAGATGTTTGCTATGTTTGCGCTCAAGCGCACTGATGTGTTTTCTACTGGAGATCTGGGAGTACAGTAAGTTCATTTCTTGCTTTTGTCCTATGCAAATTCTTGGTTTCTTGACCGGGAGATGTTTGTGTTGCAGTTCAGTGGAGGAGTTATTGACACCTCAGTAGACGAGGCTGTGCTGCCTTTGTGGGTCGTGATGTGAGCAAACTCAAGGGCAAGGGTGGTGGTAAGTTCAAATATATGGCTGAAAAGGATATGCTTGAACTTGCTGCCAAATTTGCACCATATAGGTATGTGTGGCTCTGTTCATGGTGTAGAAAATGTGCTTACTTAGTTGATCCAGGAGTCTGTTTATGTGGTATATGTGGCGGATTGAGGACGTTGATGTGGCAGTTCTTGGTGGTTAAGAGACTTAGAAGTACTACCTCTGCGAGTTAGGCTGTCTTGATACCGTGGTATTTACTGGATGTTGAGCGTTTGACATGGTGCTGCATAATGAATATTGCCATAGTGTATAGAGTCGACCATTGGGAGGGACTTGTGGCTCTGATTTCGTGGTTATGAGCAAAGAGGCATGATTCAAGATGTTATGCATATGCAGTGTTGGGTGCCTACCGCCCCAATTTGACCAGCTACCACAACCCGCATAGTATCTCGAACTGCCCTAGTCATTACTAAAGATTATCAATACGTCAAGAGGTGCAAGGTCCGCTTGTCGATTACAAGATTGACCAAAGATATAAGCGCGCGAAGAAAATCGATTTGTACAGTATCAGTACACTCAGGCTGCGTAACCAAGCCATGGGCCGCCGACGACGCCCATTCCATTACAAAGAAAGCACACCAGGCGTTTATTCAATGCCAACAACAATGCTACCCCAACCCCCTGTTTTCATATTCCATTGAACCAAGCAGCAATGGCTTACTTGCGGACAACAAGGTTGTCAAGGTCGGCACGCTCCTGAACCTCCTTCTCGATCTCGCGGATGATGGGGCTAAGGTACTCGACGTCCTATTTGATTCGCATCATTAGCATTGTGATCGTTGTGGTGAATATATGTTTCAAAACAGAGTCAGGGTGGATGTGAGGATGTGACAAATCCGTGCAACAGGATTGGCCGATATGGGGACTAATGCGGGGAGGACGAAATTTGGATGTTGGGGACTCACCTCCTCGGGCTTGATCTGCTCATGGGCGGGAAGGAGAGTGTGGGAGATGGAGCACTGCAATTGACACATTTGTTAGGTTCTGCGCCAGTCGGATTATACAGGAAGGGGGGTCGGTCGAACCTGGAAAGCACGGCGGATGCGGAAGACACGGTCGTAGGCCTCCTTGGCGGGAAGACGCTTGATGGCCTTCTGGACGTTCTCGCTCTCCTCAGGAATCAGGTCATCGAACCTAGTTAGCGGTTAGCAAGTGTTTCGGTCCAACCCTGCCGCGAACGATATCCGAAAGACCGGGCCTCCGGGCAAATTCGACACAACTGCGATTGCATTCAAAAGATATGCCACCGGTGCGCGACGAATTCGACCAGCCAATTCCAAATCCTTGTCTTAATCGTTCGTGGTCGAGGGGTTGTCGGTGTGGGAGGGCAAGAATTACTTGAGTCCGAGTCTCCTGTAGCCGGCGGCATCGGTGTACCAGTGGGAGAGAGGGGTGAGCCAGCTCTTGAGCCATGGGCGCTTGACGATGTAACTGGCGAGCGAAGGGGCAGACATTTTGAATCCCGGGTATCCCAATTGACGTGGGTGTGGTGAAGGGTTGGAAAGGCTATCCGACTGGAACACGAGATGACCCGATGTTGCGAGGTTGTGCAAAACGGAGCTCGGGCGGCTAGTCCTGAAACGGCATTTCTACACCTGAGGCCAAAATCACATGATCTATAGATGCCTCAGGCGGTGAAGAAACTGGGAATGTCAATCGGGGCACTCCACCTAGCGGATGGGTTTCCTATGTCATATCCCCTTTTCAACCTTATCGCTTGCTTTGACAGGAATGGGATCTGTTAAGCATCAAAGCAACAACTGATCCCTGCTTACATTAAGAAGCTTGTTTGTCTTGAGAACCCCGCCCACGTCCGTGCTGCAAGATATTAGAACATTGCGCATTCAACGCAATCGCACCGGGTTCGGCAAGCATCGGCCCCGAAAACTCTCTCAATCCTCCGTCATTACTCACACCTTCTTCTTTACACCATTTACGGACTTTGGACTTTGGATATTCTACATTTCTTTCCCAGCTCGGTTTGAAATAGGGTTCTTGGGTTCCGGATCGAGCACCCGATATGCTCGTGTCCGGGAGCCCTCGTTGATTCAGTACGGTTCGATAAGCTGCGTGAGCGCCGGCCACCAAAATGACTACAAACGGCCGAAGCGCTCCGAACAGCTCCCCAAGCCAAACTCGGTCAATCCATGTCGACAATACTTCCAATGTGCCCGCCGCACCGAGCTCTGATTTCAAAGCCCGCCTCGAGATCTTTTCCACCAAGATACCCAATTTTTACATAGCACCTTTCTGTGGAGCCAGCGCTGGCGTGGCCTCTGGTATTGTCACATGTCCTCTTGATGTAATCAAAACAAAGCTCCAAGCCCAGGGTGGGTTTCGGCGGGGAGGAGCAAAGGAAGTTGCCTCGGGGGTGTTGTATCGTGGCATGCTCGGAAGTGGAAGGAGGATTTGGCGAGAAGATGGCGTTCGCGGTCTCTATCAGGGACTAGGTCCAATGTTGCTGGGATATCTTCCCACCTGGGCTGTTTATCTAGCAGTCTATGACCGGACTCGTGAATATTTCTATGACCAGACAGGTAGGTACCTCCAGAATGGAGGATTCGGTCATTCGTAAGTACTGACCAAATTACAGGAAGCTGGTGGTTATCCCGCGGCTATGCTTCAATCACAGCCGGTGCATGCTCAACGGTTGTGACGAACCCCATTTGGGTAATCAAGACCAGGCTCATGTCACAAAGCCTCAAACAAAACAGTGAAGGAGTGCGAGCCCCGTGGCAGTACTCAGGCACATGGGATGCTGCTCGCAAGATGTATCAAATCGAGGGCCTTCGCTCCTTTTACTCTGGCCTTACCCCGGCTCTGCTGGGACTGACCCATGTGGCCATTCAATTCCCCCTCTACGAATATCTAAAGATGGCATTGACAGGCTATGGTATCGGTGAACATCCTGATACCGGTAGTTCACACTGGGTGGGAATATCCGTCGCCACTTTCCTCAGCAAGATCTGTGCAAGCACAGTCACATACCCGCATGAGGTCTTGCGAACCCGACTCCAAACACAGCAGCGGACTATTCCGGCGCAATCTCACGAAGAGGTTGCGTTCCGCGGCGGATTGAAACATCCGCATGACCGCGGTCGGGCGGGCGGCATATCCTCGTCAGATGGAATGCTCAGTCGCCCACGCTATAATGGCATGGTGCGCACATTCCAGACAATCCTCAAGGAAGAAGGATGGCGTGCGTTTTATTCCGGGATCGGCGTCAACCTGTTCCGGGCCGTCCCGGCTGCCATGACTACTATGCTCACCTACGAATACCTGCGGAAGCAGATCAGTACCTTGCAGCATGAGGGCGCGCTGAGGATCCAAATGGAAGAAGAAGCTCAGCGATCTATTTGATACCCACGATATATCAAAACACAAGAGATTACCTACAATCTCCAACCTCCAGACTCCTCTCTTCATGTCCGATTCTATAACATTGCACCCCCACCGCTTCTGATGGCCAAGCCCTTCTTTTTCCTTTCGTCACAACCTGTATAGACCTGAAAGGGGTGGTCTGTTGCTCGATATTTGCAGATCAATATTTAGCGAGTAAATTTTGGCTACTGCATTCTGAAAACATACCAGGTCTCGGGATAGATGACAGTCTCTCTCCAGACTTTAAGGCTCTGACATGTGAAACAGCTTTCACATGTCTTCACATGCTCACTGCATCTTAGCTGAAAGATTACTGTGCCTCAAAGCATGGCCTTTTTTTCCTTTCTTGTTGCTTTTTAAACTTGTCTACCATCTTCCTGGATTTTGCATGTCTTTTCTGTATATACATCACCTGTTCTACATGCTCACCGATTCTCGTGAATACACATACTTGAACAAAGAAATAGCTCTCTTATTTTACTTTGAAAGATAAAGGACACATTGCAATTGAAACTACCTAATAGGAAATGGCAGATAAGAACTTAACTCGACTATTGCAAAGCCTCTGGTATGAATCGCACGAGACCTCCAGAGCACCGTACCTATTTGGGTTCTACATCCTTTGTATCAGTGTTGTATCCGAATTTCGGTGGTTGTAACTTTGGTATATTTTGAAAGTAGCGAGAATGCTTTCGAAAATGGCAGATTGATGTCAACCTTCATGTTGAGCCTGACCGTTGTCACAGCAGAAAAAGTCCATGTGAGGAAACTTTTCCGTCTCCATGGTCGCATTGAAGATTACTTCATATCCTTGTCAATGGGCAGTCTTGGGATTTTTTCTCTACGACTCTCGCAATAATGAGAGATGCGAGTTCACCGTGATCTCGGATAATATCCAGGATCTCCTTGTTGCAGCTAAGTTCATAGAAGTTGCCCGAAATGACGTCCACGAGTACATTGAGAAGACTGGAGTCATGAGGAAGCATTGATACCATGATTTGGAGAACAATTCTCGGGAACGATGATGACATGTAGTATCTTTCGAGCCACGCAGAAAGCTTGTACAAAGCAAACTCCTTGAGAAGAAAGATGCCAAATTTGTCGGCCGCAAGGTAGACAGAGAGGTTGTTGCAAGCACTGGCAGCCCTTCTGTGTTCAAGCCCGCTTAATAGGTTCTCATAGTTGCCTGAAATGTTGCATTTTGGCTCTCCCTCTTGGTCATTACCATCGTAAGTCTGCTGGTAGAGGAAGCAGAGGACTCGTCTGATGGTCTCCGGGTCGTCCTCAGGTAGGTTGAAGGTCCTGCTGATGGATTCCTTGAAAAGAACATGCGAGCAAGTAAAATTACCTAGACATCGGGTACTGAGCATCTTACCTGAAAGTTATGTTTAAGGGCGGCATCGAAAAAGTGAGACTGTGTGCAGATGATGGAGCAATGGGCCTTGAAAGTCACGTCCTGGCAGACAATGGTCACATCCGAGAAACGATCCTCCATAAGAATACCACCTAGTGCCTGGCAAAACAAGGAGGAGTTCCTAGCTGATGCCATATTGAAACATAAGAGAGATGCGGTTGAGGAGAGACAAATGGGAAGAGAGGTACTTGAGTAGGAATTGGGAGAACAAAACAACGAGAAAGTTCAGGCATTTGAATTAGCAACTTAGTCTGTATGTGTGCTCTAGTTTTGTGTGAAAGTCAACATGAGTCGATCTGTATTGCTTCAAATCTAGTTGAAGCAATGTTCGCATAGAGACCATAATTGTAGCCATGTAAAAAATGACACGATAACTATATTAAATAGTTTGAATGGAAAACACAACTTATATGCTAGGTTAAAGCGGTGGCCTTTGAATTCCAGTCTTCCACTTGATGCTGTTATGTGTTGTATAAAATGTATCCCAGGCTGATAGTAGATAGAGGAGTGGATGTGCAAACATATGGGGCAACCACGTGACACACTATTTAAATTTGCCGCAATTATTTTTTTCCCTCTTTTCTTCAACTTCTCCCTTCACAAGTTTTTCTTTGACAACCCTCAATCTGTACTTGTTTCTCAAGTGTTTAATGCCAGCACTTAAGGATCAACCAGATGTTGATTTTGATCAGGTTTACTTACTAACCTGACTTGCATCAAACCAATAATGCCATTGGCTTTGTGCGCATTTCATCTATTGCAAAGGCATTTAGATGTGCCTGGATAGTTTCATACCACCCCCTGTTTACTTTCACAATGCACTTTGCAATTCCTTTGGCCAAAGCACACATTTTTCCTTCACTATTCGCATGATGAACAATTTCAAGATTGAACTGGGTTGTCAATACACTTAGACTCCCGGTGCATGATCATTCATACACTGAAAATTCTGATTGAATATGAAGATGCAGATGTTACTTCCAGTTGATTCTGCTTTATTTTCACCTATCTAGCAACAAAGGACCTCAATGAACAAAGATTTCCACATACTGGTATCACAAATTCTTTATCAAACACTGTTGTAGTGGATTAATTCTATATCATACATATACAAAAGCGCCCTTTCAACATACATATGTACATTTATGTAGGCGCACATCAAGTTCGTCCCTTCCCAGCATTCTGCGCTCGACTCTCATCAAGTGCTTGTTGAACCCAGGACTCGTCTTTTCTCTCCAATGGCGTAGATCGCTGAAGAGAGCCAGACCCGGGAGCTTGGGTTTGGGCATCTCGCCGCGCAGTGCGGATAGAGCTAAAACAGTATGAACAAAGGATCACAGCCATTGTAAAAGCTGCAATAGGGGCATTGAGAGACTAGATCAAGATCAGTACTGGAGAACCCATTTGATATGTAAACAGACAGAAAATTGGAGAGTTTGGCTAAGAAATTAAGTGGGCTGATAGGGTTTAGGTTGGGCATTGTAATGCAATGTACATACCCCTTTTGGCTTGCCTAGTGCTTTGGGGGGTTCTCTTTGTTGGGCCATCGCGTCAACGGGTAGTTGTATCTGATTTTTGATGTAGGTAGGCTTGAGCTGTCCTTAGCCTCACTTTTGCCAGCCGAACTTGTTTAAAAAGAGGCGGAAATTCCTCAAAATAGACACAATAGAGCAAAATTGAGAAAATTGAAAGGAAACAAAAACCCCTCCATATGCGAAAGATGTAATGATGGAGGCGGAGAGTTGAGCGGAGTTAGGCAGAGTGCTGATAAAGGTAGCCTTATCGCGTTTAATCGGTGCCGACGTTCTCAGGCCGTCGACACACCCGTGGACTCTCTTACCGCCGCGATAGTCATGGCTTCTGATCCCACCCCTCCGAAAGGGGGCATGTCACTGTATGCCAACTTACTTAATGCTTCTGCAGATACGCCTGGCAGCATCTCCCGTGCCCCTGTTGTCTTTAAACAGCCGGAGACTGAACCTCAACCCGATGACGCGGCGGCTAAGAAGCAACAACTGAATCCTGGTATCTACGCTTGACTTGTTGAATAAATAGAGCGTCACATGCTGAAATTTTTTTCCCCACAGCTTCTCTTCGGTTCCAACCCCCCAAAAGGCCACAGCTTTCAGCGCAGAAGCCAAAACCGAAACATACTTTACCCAAGGCAGTGCCACAACCGCAGCCCTCAGCTAATCCTTCGGTACCGACAAAGAACACTTTGGCTGATTGGACCGCTGTGGAAGATGATGATTATGAGTATGCCCGCGAGAAGCGACAGCGCGGTGGAAGAAAGAAGCGCAAGAAGAACTTTGAAACACATGCTGTCCAGAACTGGGAAGACATCTACGACCCTTCTCGACCTACCAATTTCGCGGAATACCGTAATAGTGACGAGACGATCGGAGAAATCCGCGAGTGGAAGGATGCTTTGTATGCGCATGTCAAAAAGCGCTCACCGAGCAGATATTCTGATAGCGAGGATGATCGGCCAAAGAAGCGTATGTTCGGGTCTTTTACGATTAGTGAGGATGTCCAGACTAAAATAAAACCACCAGGACAATTTGCGCCTCCGAGTAACTTTGCGCCGCCGCCAAATCTTAATGATGTGCCACCGCCAGCTTCTATCCCCAATGACCCATCCGGTGACGATGCATTTGCTCGCCGTGCAGCATTAGGACAACGCTTCGACAACGGTTCCATTGCCGTTCAGACCCAACTTCCAACCTCACCTCCGTCTCGCACTGAACATCCCACCCGAATTCCCGACGATCCGACTGGCGAAGACGCATATATGCGCCGCTTCCAGAGAGCCGAGAACCCATCATCGGGACAAGTCATACCGCCTCCTCCACCACCACGCCCCCTTGACACCTTCCAACCTAGCTCCGCAACAATCTCCCGTGCTCCAGTTCGATACGCTCTTCCGCCACCCCCAGAAGACATCCCAGCCTCCAAAGCCGAATTCGAAGCTGTATTGGCCCAAAAACCGGCGGATGTCAAAGCAGCCTTCGGATCACGAATGCTTACCAAGTGGGGCTGGGAAGAGGGATCTGGACTTGGCGCTACTGGTTCTGGTATAGTGAAACCGCTGCAAGTCAAGCTTGAGAAGCGAAAGAAGCGACCGGACTCAGAGGGTGGTGGTTTTGTCACACCTGCTGGACGAGGCAAGATCATTGGAAGCAACAAGAAGGGTGAATATGAAACCAGCAAGTTTGGTCCTATGAGCGAAGTGGTCAAACTACAGGGCATGCTAGACGGTATGGACCTGGATGTTGAGATGGAGAGGGGTGAAAATGGTGGGTTGATGCAGGAGATTGGACAGGAGTGTGGCGACAAGGTACGTTACCTTTCCTTAATGGGCTTGGGGCTTTCACTAACTTGGAGGGCTCGTAGTATGGACCCGTGGAGCGAGTGTTCATCGCTCGTGATGTCGGAACCCCAGTCCCGGTCTTTATCAAATTTAACCATCCCTTGTCTGGTCTACGGGTAAGCTTTTTGAGATCTACATCTTGATTCAAATGTGAGTTTGTGCATTACTGACTATTCCATAGGCTGTGAACGCGCTCGAAGGCCGGGTTTTCAATGGCAACACAATCGTTGCACGATTTTATGACCTCGAGAAGTTCAACCAGGAGATTTACACGGAATAATTGCTCGTGTTCATTCCCTTTTATGTACGCTATGACACACATTTCTTAATTTGTGCATTCTCGACTATTGCACATACAATAGGCCGTGAATGTGGCTGATGGCCAAGTACTCGATGGCAACAAAATCATAGCACAGTTTTCTTCGACTGAGGAGTTTGAGCGGGGGTCTTACATAACGAATTGCTTATGTTCATACCCTTTTGTGTACTTAACTATGTTAATGATAATGTTCGATTCATTTGATGTCGATTGTCGCTCTACCTCAAAACAAAACAAAACAAAACGCAGACTATGGAGTATCTCAACATTAATCATCCAGACTCTTATGAAATCTCAAAAACTCCAATCAAAGTCTTCCATCCCACCACTCTCATCATCAACCTATTGCTCCGACACCTTCTTAACGGGAAGGGGAATCCAGGAACGCCAAGTCCGACGGTCTTCCTTCGCCTTAGAAGTGCCGAGCAAGGACTCTGTATCCGACATATCGTCATCAGTGATAAACGCCCGATATGCAGGAGTCTGCTGGTTGCGCACCAACCTAGTAGGAAGCGGAATCCAAGAGCGCCAGCGCCGGCGCATCTGCGGCCGAGGTTCCTGCGAAGGCTCGTAGACATACTCTTCATCATCTGCGTAATCATCAGTATAACCAACCAAAGCGACAGAAGATACGTGAATCGACGCTTGTTGCACTACGCTCGGCATACGTGCTGGACCCTTGTGGAAGGATGCACGGGTCTCCCGGTTCTCAACCCGGTCAGCGAAAGACCCAGGAGACTGGGAGACCCACGTTTCCATATCAAGTTCCTCAGCGTCACTGTCATCGATAGTCCAGCCATCTTCGTTGCTATATCGAAATGCATCGTTTAGTGCAGCCAAAAGGTCTTCTCTGCGCCATTCGCGGAAGACAGACTGGCGCAAGACCAGCTGCTCAAGCTTGCATTCCAGACATTTTCCTATAAGCGAGAAATATAATGTACTGTGCTGCTCTTCGGTGCACTCGTTGTTCGTTATGTAGACTTTGTGGCATGCGATTTGGTAGCTTGCATCCTGGTCTTGGTGCTGGCACAGGGCATAGTACCAGATAATTGAATGACACATGATGACAGATGATAGTATGTAGTTTTGGGTTATCTTTTGTAAATATTGCTGATTAGAGTTTGCCGGAGGGTTGGTCAATGTGGATGGGATGAGTATGTGAGATGAAATGGGTAGATCTTCCTTTATACTCCTCAGACCGGAGTCGGCAGATGCCGACAAAGTTTTGTTATTAGGCAAAGCCTTTGTCGAGGATTGATCCGGGGTTCGAATAAAGAAACATTTCCGCCTTGGATCCCTTCTTTGCAAAGACTTGGGATAGCTATTGTCCATGATAGAAGGCATTATAGACCCTCTTTGTTACCTTGGAGAACATTTGAATGTCTTTGTTTCATGATTTTGTAGGTAAAGATCAGAAGTGGAATGTTCCTAGCTAGTGACAGTGACTCAAAAAATTGCATTTGAAGTTGTAATGGGAATGGATACTTGTATCAGGTAGGGTTGACCTGAAGTCCATAGCGTGCTGCTCTAAATGAATGCCCCGATGGATAGCATCAACCAAATAGCTGTCTATACCTTTAACTGATTGTATTCTGATCAAGATCACTCAAATCTAGATATAAATATTAAGTGCGATAAACCATATCACTATATCGAGGCGAGATATATACTCCCCTAAATCAGGATTAGCCACCTACCATTTCCCGCCTACTTTACTTGCTACTATCAAATAGCCTAGAATAGAATAACGAAGAAATGTGAGTAAATCGGGTTGTCCATGGTGAGAACTTAAATACATACATGCACATAACTGTATGTAGGTGTGCTAGCGACTTGGAAGAAGCGTATGCCTGGTGAATAAGCTTCCACGGGTCCATGGGTTTACGGGTGGCAGCTGATCTCAATTGGATAATAATGACGGGATCTACTCCATCTTTGGTTTAGTTCCAGCACCTTCCCAAAGTTAGATGTACTAGTCAATGTAAAAACAATTATCGTGTTCATTCTTTAGCCATCCATCCATCCACCAAGCCCTCTTATACACTCATCAAAATGGCTTCGCACGCACCAGTTGAAGACCCCTGCGACTCCATAGAGTCACCCCAAGCCTCCGACTCTGAGTCTACGATCAAGGCGTTAAAGAAAAGAAAAGTGGAGGTTGAGCGCGACATTCTTTATGCCCGCAAAGAATGGAAAACTTTAGGTCTGTTTGACCAGAACTACTGGTCTCAAGCCGTAGAGGTCGAGAGGTTGTCAGTACAACGAGAGATTATAGATCGCAAGATCTCGCAAGGCAGCTTCTCTGGTGAAGAGATCTACTGGAAGGCGACAGAGGAGGCTAAAAGCATACTCGAAAGGATCAATGCCCATAGACAGGCTGAGAAGATTTGCGACGCCAGAGCCACAAGGCTTGGTGAAGACAAACCGCAAAGGACGCTAAGAGCCTCATTCATGCGGTTGTTTACCACATCCAAAATGGGTATAAACATCTCCTGGACTGGTGCTGGCAAGCGCAAAAGAAGTGATCAGAGTGAGTGGAAGCGCACGATGATTGATGCATACAATGCGAAGCACCCGGATCAAAACTGGCTGTGGTGCCCAATAACACACCAATGGAGAGCATCCCATAGTGTGGTTGCTGCACATTTATTTGGCTATATGCATGGACAAGCAACCATGGATGCCATTTTTGGGAAAGGAAGAGGCATCTTTTCTCCGCGTAATGGCCTCCTGGTCAGTCTTGAGTTCGAGCGCTACTTCGACAGCGGGAAGATAGTCATTGTCCCAGACATTGGAGAAGACGCCGGGATCTCAGAGATGCTGAATTGGCTGAATCGCAAACCAAGAGAGTTTAAGATCAAGATCTTGGACCAGGATTGGAATCACCTCGACAACATGGTTGACGACAAGTCCGGATTGACCTATAGAAACCTTGATAATCGCTCTCTGAAGTTTATATCAGACTTTCGACCCGCTGCCAGATATCTTTATTTTCACTATTGCGTGCAAGTTCTCAGAAGGGCATGGCAATACACCAAAGATACGGATAAGACTGAGGCAGCCAAGGACCATGCGGTGAACGTTTTACATGGCACAAATGGCAAATTGTTCTGGGGGACCCCTGGCCGCTATCTTCCTCGGAATATGCTGCTAGCTTTGGTGGAAGAGCTAGGCCATGAGTACGAACCACTTCTGAAGGGTGCAGCGTCAAGTACGTCTGCTGATTCTGATATGTTGCTTGAATTAGCTGCAAACCAAACGAAGGCGCGGCGAAAGTCACTATCAGAGGACCTTTTTCGCGACGAGGATCCAGACATTGATGACATTGATGATGAGTAGTTTGAATTGCTCTTTTTTCTTTCTTTCTTTCTTGTTTTTTAATTGACGGATCAGGAGTACTTTTGAACCCTGAGTCCTATAAGTCTTTGTACACTATCTAAATGGTCCGTTAATGAGACCCGGATTTCAAAATTTTTTGATACACTGCCTTTAGGCCATTTGGGATCTCAATCGGAGCGGTAAGATTCCTAAGATCATATTCTCCCCCCTGCCCAACAGCCTCGAGCGCCAGATAGCCGGGTGCATATAATTCGACATCCTCTTCCCACTGCTTGCGATAGTCCACACCTGGAGGAGTCATACCACCTACTGATTCTAGAAGATCAAGAATTGTAGGTCCATATCCAATCTGTTTATGTAATCTGCGTTAGCCGTAGATATACCGAGGAACGGGAAGATAGCTCACGGTGTGTTCTGATAGGCACGACCGCCTGAACGCTCTTTTGCTTCTAGCACGCCAACCCTTCCATTCACGAAAAGGTCTTAGGAAAGAGGAAACATATTAAAAGGACGGATCAAGGTTGAGTGCCTGATATCTCCATTCAAAGCAAATTCAACCAACGTCAAACGGGCTGTTTTTAACCCTTCCTCATCTACTATCATGAAATGCCTCGTATTTTCCTCATACAGAACACTCCCCATCTTAGTAAGGTAGATATCGCCAAAACAAGCACTTTCAAGATAATACCAGGGAAGGAAATCCGGCACAGAGTGGGTGTTAGGAGTGGCAGGGTTGGGAACAGCCATATTGGGGATAGGGTTCATGATAGGTAGGCAATGTCCTGCTTCGTAATCGTAACGATAAAAGAGAATCGCGAGCTTAACCCACCGGGCCTTGTTTAAAGGATCTTCAACAGGTGCCATACAGATGGCATGGTTCGGCTCACAAGGCATGAATGCATAAACCCGCTCTAATGCCTCGCGAGGATAAGAAGGAAACTGATTTCCCTCGCTTATAGCACGATTGTGATATGACTGACGTACAATTAGTTAGGGAATATTCAAGATTGTCCGGAGAGTAATACGTCACGGAATTCCTGAGAAGCAGAAGCCCATTGTTGTACCAAGGCGCGGCGTTGGCGCAATTCGTATTCTTTATCTGCATCAAGGTCGCTTGGTCGTGGAAGCCAGCTTTCTCGGACAAAAATTAGCCACCCTTTCACCTGTTCTTCAATCTCATCACGAGACACGTCGGTTGCGTGACGTTTGATTTCTCGAGGAATGCCGCCCGGCCAGTGAGATGGTGTCGCCATATGTTTCTGTATGTTGCAGGAGAAAGAGCACTTTCAAACAAGTACTCTAAACAGAAACGCCGAAAATCCCGGCTAGGGCGAACGGCTACGCCTGGAACGAGGCAGGGCCCAATCGTCCAAGCGGCCCACTTAGCGGGAAGGTGACCAAAATCCTTATAGTTCTGTAGCACTTGTCGAGGCCTACGCTGTACACCCTCAATCTTGTCTATGCAGCCCATGATACATAACAGGAGCTGTAATTAAGTGGCCGTTTCAATTTTTTGATTGACTGAGCTCGTATGAGTAACAATAGTTTATAATAATCAAGTCGCTAAGTGCAAGTGTATAGCCCTGCATGCCTAGTACTGCCCTCATTATTGGGACCACCAGACAAAATGGATAAATATATAGTCACTTGAATTACAGTGAAAATGAACACTCCACAGAGCCAGTTGTAATTGCTATTTATGCCTAACCATAGCAGTGAGGCTTCTTGGGAGGTTCCTGGACAAGGCCGGGCCAGTCCCCTGTATGTATTACATAAGCAAACTCATTGTTCGCGTGGGGAGGTCAATTGCTATCACCTCCCCGGCTTTGACGATTGCCACCTTTAAAATCTTCCACTCATCACCTCACCTCTTTCTCCCTCTCTCAATACCCATAACTCAACAACTTATCGTGCTCTGCACCTTATTTGAAACCAAGTTGCATCTTTCTGCTGCTTGATCTTCTTTCACCGCGAGTTAACCTATTTCAGCTACTTGCCCGCTGAACACCACCCAGGATGTCGTTGTGCCAGAACCGTCTCCAAGAAGAGCGGTAAGCATATTTCCTATCCAGCGGATTCCGCGATTCTGCGCATTACTTGCGCCATGCCCTTGCCCCGTACTAACTTCGATGGATTCCCTAGAAAGCAATGGCGTCGCGACCACCCATTTGGCTTTGTCGCAAAGCCGAAACGTGCCCCGCAGGGTGGCCTAGACCTGAAGAACTGGGAATGTGCTATTCCAGGGAAGGCTAACACCCTCTGGGAAGGCGGACTTTTCAAAATCGACTTGATTTTCCCCGATGGTGAGCAGCGCAATACATTCCTGACCACTGAAGATCATTATACTAATCTAGATACTTTCACGCTTCTAGAATATCCTACGAAGCCTCCCAAATGTACGTATCTCTTGTGCAATATACTCCTGTGCCAGCTCGCCGGAAGAGAGCTTCTGCTGGGAGCTATCACTATGATATTTTGTGACAACAAAATACTAATACAAGAACCCTTTAGGTAAATTCACACCGGCACTTTTCCACCCTAATGTTTACCCTTCCGGAACGGTTTGCCTGTCCATTTTGAATGAAGAGGAGGGTTGGCGACCTGCCATTACTATTAAGCAGCTCTTGCTTGGCATCCAAGATCTCCTGGATGACCCAAACCCCGAGTCACCTGCGCAGGCTGAGGCCTACAACCTCTTCAAGAAGGACCGTCCCCAATACGAACGCAGGGTCCGCATGGTTGTCAAGGAAAACCAGCCAAACTAGGAAACCAGCCCAACCAGGCTTTTAAGTTACCCAAGCGTAAACAGCGATGACGCTGCATGGGTCATTTACTTTTTTTCTTCTCTTTCAGCATGGGACACCGGGGAGATTGAGGGAAGATTATGCATTTATTGTTTAATGAAGGGAGCAAGTTTTGCTTTTCTATCGCGAGCATGGCGTTTCTACATATCCCAATGGATGGCGTTTTCTGGGATTAGGGTCATTCAGAAACAATGATACCACATACATGCTCCTTTTTGGGATGCTTAGGCTTGCCATGTATTGAGTACAGGATGACTCTCGCAGAAGAAATTCGATATCGTACTCCAGGGCTCATTTGCTTCTCTGCATGGGTAAAATCACCTGGGCAGCCAACCCAACATCCATGCATCTCTGCGCTGATAGGATGAGCCTATAGTGGGTGTGTTGCAAAGCTGCATTAACTTGCATCTTCAATTATCCAGACACCAATGTATTTACTTGATGAACCAAACCCAAATTGGTAAATCTTTCTTCATTTGAAATCTCAAAATTATAGGATCGTGTGCTAAACACTGTGTCATCTACCAATTCAGCTAGAGCTATGCAGTCTAAGTATCACCATCGACTACATAGTTATATTCGATCTTGGGACCTCCCGAGGTCGGGACAATCTAGACTTAGAAAAGCGGAACTCGGCATGCATCATGTCAGCATTGAATGTAAAAAACTGAAGATGGCATGATCCCATTCTGTTTCCGAGACCCAAAATAAGAAGCCAGAAGAGATATATGAGTCACTTATACTGATATAATTCTAATAGGTCTCACATAGATCGTCATGGTCTTAATAATATCGAAATAGGTGCGATATCGCCTTTAGTGACTCCGTACTTTCTCCCTAGAGCCGACTTTCCTAGCCGTCTTCATAAAGGAAAACTATTTCCTCCGTAGAGATTTCATATTGATGGTAGGGAAGCCATACGAGGAATATGTTTTTCCCGAATGTGACTACGGACTCGTTTTAATGGTCTCCAACCGTGCTTTTAGAAGCAATAGATAGACATGCTTGTGGTGAAGCAAGCCAGTGATCAACACAGTAGGGTACTGATATTCTTGGCTACACATCCCACATTTAATATTTATTATGAGTTCCCTTAGACGGAAAGGAAAGTACACTTTGTCAAGGAGAGGCTTGGCTAGGGCTATAGTTCATGGTGGGGGGGATTATTATCACGTGACATTGGATCAACTCACTCTTCAGGGATCCCCTGTCAGACTGAGATAGACTATAATAGTACGGAGTAGTATGACCCGACAAAAGGAACCCGCTAATATAGTCACAAATCTAACCACAGTAGGAAAATCCTTAACCTGTACTCCGTAGAGCGTAATTGGGCCAATTGTCCAGGGGCTGTTATCTCTTATCGGTGACTCAAAGACTTGGCCGACATCGCCCCTCGCCCCGCCGGGAGGGCACCGGGGCAAATTTGAAAAAAATCGCCGTTCTATGGTTCCCCATATAACCGGACGATTAGCCAATTCTACTCCGTACCCTTCTTCTCTCTCTCCCAATTGATCTTCATCTCTAACCACACTTCTCAATTGCCCATCATGTGTGGAATTTTCGCGTGCCACCAGTGCGTCATGTCCTGCCCTAACTCCCCGCGTCTGGTGGGATACCAATTTGCGGAATACTAAGTCGAGTCCTATAGTCATCCCGATGTGCAAAAGTTCAAGCCTACCGCTTTGCGCATGGCCAAGGCGTGAGTATCCCCATTCCCTTTTCAATTGCTGCAATCTGCAATCTGCAATTCGCAATCTATAGAATTCTCACTGATTTGTATCCTGATCATAGTGTGCGCCATCGCGGTCCCGATTGGAGTGAGTCACAGCCCGAGTTACAACATTGCGCGGTATATGTGGGGATCATAGGGTTAACAAAAGTTCTCCAACAGGTGGAAACTTCTGTGCCCAGAGCACTAGTGAGTTAAAACGCAATTACTTCGGTGTCGGCGTGGTATGCTAATGCGTGATTCATAGTCTTGGCGCACGAGCGTCTGAGCATTGTCGGTGTTGGTATGATACCCTTTTGAACGATCAACAGTCTGAAGATCTATTCATTAACAATATCGTTTTAGACTCCGGTGCCCAGCCCCTCGTCAACGATGATAGCACCCTCGCCCTCGCCGTCAACGGTGAGATCTACAACCACCGCCTCATTCGCAAGAACCTTCACCACAAGTACAACTTCAAGACGCACTCTGATTGCGAAGTTATCATCCCCTTGGTACGTCAGGCCAGATATAACAGAATCGGAGCTAGAGTCGAAATGCTGATATATACTAGTATGAGGAGTACGGCCTTGATGCCCCCAAGCACCTCGATGGCATGTTCTCTTGGGTTCTTTGGGATAAGAAGCAGGACCGCGTTGTTGCTGCTCGTGACCCCATTGGTATCACCAGCTTCTACCTTGGCCGGTCCTCGTCGACTCCCGGCGCCGTCTACTTTGCCTCTGAGCTCAAGTGCCTGCACCCCGTCTGTGACGACATCATTGCCTTCCCCCCCGGCCACATTTATGATTCCAAGACCGACACTCTGACCCGCTACTTCGAGCCCAAGTGGTGGGACCCCACCAACGTCCCATCGACCCCTGTTGACTACAAGGTGATCCGCCACAGCCTCGAGAAGGCCGTCCGTAAGCGTCTGATGGCTGAGGTGCCCTACGGTGTTCTGCTGTCTGGTGGTCTGGACTCCAGCTTGGTCGCGTCTATCGCCCAGCGTGAGACCCTCCGTATGGCCGAAGCTGCCCGCAACGCGCCCCAGAATGTGAACGCGGACGGTGAGTTGGTTGGCATTGACGATGACAACGAGCTGTCGACCGTCACCACCTTCCAGCAGCTGCACTCATTCTCCATCGGTCTCCCCGGTGCCCCCGATACTGCCGCTGCCATTGAGGTTGCTAAGTTCCTCGGCACCAAGCACCACCCCTTCACCTTCACTGTTGAGGACGGTCTCGATGCCCTCTCCGACGTGATCTACCACCTCGAGACCTACGACGTGACCACCATCCGTGCCTCTACTCCCATGTACCTGCTCTCCCGCAAGATCAAGGCTATGGGTGTCAAGATGGTTCTGAGTGGTGAGGGTTCCGACGAGATCTTCGGTGGTTACCTCTACTTCCACGCTGCTCCCAACAAGGAGGAGCTCCACAAGGAGACCGTCCGCCGTGTCAAGAACTTGCACTTGGCTGACTGCCTCCGTGCTAACAAGTCCACCTCCGCATGGGGCCTTGAGGCCCGTGTTCCTTTCCTCGACAAGGAATTCCTTGAGACCTGCATGGGTGTCGATCCCCAAGACAAGATGATCACCCCCGAGCGTATCGAGAAGCACATGCTGCGCAAGGCCTTCGACACCACCGACGAGCCCGGGACCGCTGCCTACTTGCCCGACAAGATCCTCTGGCGCCAGAAGGAGCAGTTCAGCGATGGCGTTGGCTACAGCTGGATTGACGGCCTGAAGGATGAGGCCGAGCGCCAGGTCACCGATGAGATGATGAAGAACCCTAAGCCCGAGTGGGGTACTGATGTTCCCGACACCAAGGAGGCGTATGTTTCCCACTTTCTTTTCCATTTTATAGTATTGTTGAAAACTAACATGGGGTATAGATACTGGTACCGTACCATGTTCGATGAGCACTTCCCTCCCTACTGTGCCGGCACTGTCGAGCGCTGGACCCCTACCTGGTCCAAGCAGAGCGATCCCAGTGGAAGGTGAGCTATTGTTTTCTTATTCCCTATTTGATTCATTTTCTCTAACCATTATTTGCAGAGCCATCGCCATCCACAACCAGAAGTATGACAAGTCGGAGTAAAAAGTCTGAGAGAGCATATAAACAAAAAGGATGTGAACTTTTCTGATTTAGCATTTTCTTTGGGGATATAGTACCGGATTAGATTGTATATATACCCTTTTGGTATATAGTCGGTATAATGTTATGATCTCAATATTTTTCTTATGTATTTTTTCTTAAACACGTGACCTGCCCTGGCCTAACATTACCGGCGGGCTTTCCCGGCAGCCGGGCAACCGCCAATCACCGCCCTCCCACTAACCCGTGCTAAGCCCCTAGGTTCCCCCAACATCATCACAACTCTTCTTTCCTCCTCTCTCCTCATCTCTTCATAGAACCACTTCTTCCTCCTCCATCTCTAATTAGACTATTCTCGTCAAGATGTCTGCCCCCGCTGCTTTCTCCGATATCGCCAAGGCGACCAACGATGTACGCACAACTGTTGGGAACAAAACTCAGAACCTTGGCTAATACTTCATTCCGATAGCTCCTGAACAAGGATTTCTACCACGGCGCTGCCGGTTTGTTTATCCACTCCATTGATTCAAGATTTAAAAGCTGATCAAAAGCTTTTAGCCAACCTTGAGGTTAAGTCCAAGGCCCCCAACGGTGTCACCTTCACCGTTAAGGGCAAGTCTGCTCACGAGGGCCCCATTGCTGGTCAGGTTCGTTACGATATAATCTCCAATCCGTTACGTAACCCCGCAAATTGCTAACTGGTGCGCCTATAGCTCGAGGCCAAATACGTTGATGCGCCCACTGGTAAAGGCCCCCTCCACAAAAAACCACCCGATCCCGGCGCGCACAAAGCCCGTCCAATGCCATTGATGTTCGGATGCGGCATTCCAATAGCGCGCCGGGTGAACTTCTTTATTTTTTCGGATGCAAAGGTGCACAGGATTAGGCTAATATGCTCACTCCGACCAGGCCTCACCCTCACCCAGGCTTGGACCACCGCCAACGCTCTCGACACCAAGCTCGAGCTCGACAACAACATCGCCAAGGGCCTCAAGGCTGAGATCCTGACCCAGTACCAGCCCGCTAAGCAGTCCAAGGGTGCCAAGCTCAACCTGTACTTCAAGCAGCCCAACCTGAACGCCCGTGCCTTCTTCGATCTCCTCAACGGCCCCTCCGCCAACTTCGACGCCGTTCTCGGCCACGAGGGCTTCCTCGTCGGTGCTGAGGGTGGTTACGACGTCAACAAGGCCGCCATCACCAAGTACTCCGCCGCCGTCGGTTACAGCGTTGCTCAGTACTCCGCTGCCATCACCGCCAGCAACAACCTGTCCCTCTTCTCCGCCAGCTACTACCACCGCGTCAACGCTCAGGTTGAGGCCGGTGCTAAGGCTTCTTGGGACTCCACCTCCGGCAACGCTGTCGGCCTCGAGGTCGCCAGCAAGTACCGCCTGGACCCCTCTTCCTTCGCCAAGGTTCGTTTCACGCAATTAAAATGTTTATATAGCCCTTGTGAATCACGACTAATCGCGCAATTTTCTCGCAATATAGGCTAAGATCAACGACCGTGGTATTGCCGCTCTGGCTTACAACGTCCTGCTCCGCCCTGGTGTCACCCTCGGCCTCGGTGCCTCCTTCGATACCCAGAACCTGAACCAGGCTGCCCACAAGGTCGGCGCCAGCTTCACCTTCGAGGCTTAAACGTCTGGATCTTAGCCTTCCAGGAACCTGACAGATGGCCTACCATCTTTTGGGAAGATTTTTGTAAACTTCAGTTATTAGTTCACTTGTCTTGCTGATTCACCAGAACGATGATTATGGCGGGGGTTTCCAAGATAATAACCATGTGTGTGTCGTAGATCTTTCTGCTCCGTCACCCTTTGTATATCAAATCCAACTGTTTCCTTTGTTGATCAATCCGATCGATTCACACAATCTAGAGCACCACAAGGTGTCCTTGTAGCTATGCAAGAGTAGGAGTACATCAGCCAGCAATGTACTTGAACTATGTATATATCAAGAAACTATATGTGATAACTCCGTTAAGAAGACAATGCCTGCTTCCTCGTCTTCCTCCCATCAACAACCTTAGGAACCGACCGCCAGAAATCCACGACAACAACCATAACAATCAAACACCCGGAACAAAGAAAGAATCTTGAAACCGTCTGATCAACTCCAGGCTCACGACCAACCCGATCCTCATCAATCCTCCTAGTCCCCCTCCTCTCTCTCCTCCTCCTATCCTCCGCCTCCTGGGTCCGGAAATGACCCCGAGCATTAAAATGATTCAGAGGATTCCGATGAATAAACCCCTCCCAATCCTCCGGATCAGCATGTTTAGTCCCAGCTCCAGCGCCAGCGCCAGCGCCAGCCCCGAACTCCGATCCCATCCCAGCACTACCACTACCACTACCATTAGGCGCCCATCCCTGCGCCTGTCTCCCCGTAGCACCATACCCGCCTTGCTCGTAGAAACTAGGTGGTGGACCATGGAATGCAGAGCGCCGCTTGCTCAGCCCGCTCGCGGGCCGCGAGCCGGCGTAGCTGCTGTGGCTGCCCATCGGGTGTTGGTGGCTGTGGCTTTGGCCTGGTGAGGCGTGCTGCGCGACATGGAAGCCGTGGTCGCGGTCGTAGACTGCGCGCTTTGAGACGTTGCCTAGGACGTTGTAGGCGGCGGAAATGCGGGCGAAGCGTTGGCTTGCGTCTGGGTCTGTGCGGTTGCGGTCTGGGTGGTGGCGCATTGAGAGCGCGTAGAATTGTCTAGAGGTTGTGTAAGTATTGGAAATATATATGTAATGTGGGATCGGATATGGAGGGGTTGAGGGGTGGGGGAGGGATGTTGGGTGTGAGTGTGAGTGTACTTCTTTATCTCCGCTGCTGATGCGGTTATGGGAACGTCGAGGATTTCATAGAAGTTTAGTTCGCGGGCTCGGGCTGGGTTGCTAGTTGAGAAAAAGGATATGCTTGGTCTTGTAAACTGCTGTGGTTGTTGTCGGTGTGGGTGTAATTGTGGTCGAGGGGTTTGGGTTAAGATGCTCCGGTAGGTTGAAGGGGAGGGAGAGAGGGCCGCGCGTGGAAATAGGAGGATTGCTTTTACTCGAGATGGAGGCATTGTGGTGTGTTTAGAGGGCGTGACATCGAAATAAATAGAGGAAGAAGAGCCTGGGAAGGAGGTGGGGGGAGGGGTGGAAGAGGAAGAGAGAGAGGGAGGGAGAAGCGGAAGAAGATCGGAGGTGAAGATCGGAGTGGCGTCACTGCGGTTCGAGGTCGATCGACTCTACAAGTCTACCTCGTTATCGCTATTGATTATTGGCAGATTCTATAGTGTAGTATAAGTCTATTTGGCCTTTCTTGTCCCTCGAATACAACATTTATCATCACTTACACCCAGACCCAGGCACGTGGGCAGTTACAATTCCCATAGGCATTCTCTAGCTGATGATCAGATTAGATAAGAGATCCTAGGTTATGCCATTTCGGGCATCAACCTTCCGGTGGACTGATCCAATGAGAACACTCCTTGGCTAGCTTGAGATACCCAAGGATCCACATATTGCGAGATTATGATTTCTTTCCTTCCAGAGGTTGCGGATGCTCGTCATGAGCTTGCACTCGGTGATATACATCTCATTGCAGCTAGTGGAATTGTTGATGAGAGAGTGTGTGCTGCGGCATTGGCTCTTGGAGTCTCGGGGTTGGTTATGGGGACTCGATGTCTCAGGGATAATGTGTATGAGTAGTACGAAAGTGGGATTGATATGAAAGAGACTCGGGCTTGGTTCGCTGGTGCCCTCGATGGTCCAGATGATGAGTGTTGATGTCAAGGATATGTGAAATATACCTCAAGCGCTTAGGTAGTCATGATGAAGTCAACAAATATATGGCGTAGCCCGACAATGTACACTAACTCTATCGAGTAGGTGCCTGGGATTTCTCTTCAAAGCAATGATAGTGCCTCAACCCCTTGCTTATCCTTAGGTCTCATACTCGCGTCGAATTTCCAACAGCGCTTACAAGCGCTGGGTGAGAAAACCCCAACATGTCAAGAGTCTCTGTCTTGAAACAGTCCCTAAATTGAGGCACCTATTGATGAAATTGCATTATCACGGCTGTGAGCAATTTCTTACTCTCAAAAATCCGGTTGCACCAAAATAGTTTCAACTTGAGCGCTTGAAAGAATCCCACTCAAAACGATATCCCCACATTTCAACTCTGAATCTGAGCTGAAACTGAGATGAAGCTGACGCTCCCCTTTGGTAGTATATAATTTGAAATAGCTGGGGACTTTGTGCCTGTATCTATGTCTTTGTACTCGCTAGTACCCATAAATAGACAATGAAACACTCTTTCATATATAGTGTTATTGTTATATCCTTTGAGACTAAATTTGATCTCCAGATCAAAGAGCTACGCACGAAGAACCAGACGCCGACTTGAAACACTCGCTTTATTCAACGTAAAACACGATACAAAGCAGATCTCCGGAGAGTGTATATATTCCCTCATGCCCCGTCACTGAAATTGAGATCCTAATAACCGCCTGGTATTCAAATCAAACAGCTCAACCTAAAGCGATAGACTGATTTGGTTCATTTTTTGGTCCCTAAAACACGCATCCCCTTTCTCAACAATCGAACAACATCGAAATGACGACTCTTTCAGAACTTCCTAATGAGATGCTACTGGAGATTTCCAGCCACCTCGACTATCCAGACCTCAATGCATTCACACGGGCCAGCCGCCACTTCCATGCTTTGTCAAACAGGGGTCTTTACAGAGCTATCGCTAAAGACTCACCTGGGAAAGCCATAGCATGGACAGCCGAAAAAGGGAAGGAAATTAGTGCGCGGAAACTGTTGCAGATGTGCGGCTCAAAGATATTAGACGACCTCGTCTCCAAAGGCCAAGAACCAATAGTGATCGCTGCATTGAATGGACACACCAATCTTGTCGAATTATTTCTACCCCACTGCATTCAGCACAACACCGGAAAAGAAGGAGATTTATTCAAAAGAGCGCTTACTGTCGCGATCCCAGAAGAGCATGTTGCAGTAGTCAAACTGCTTCTTGAACACAAGGCCGATTTCAAACCCCAACACAATGACAGACATGCTGCGATTCCCTTATGCAAAGCGGTCGAAATGGGACATGTATCAATTGTCAGGCTTTTCCTTGAACACAATTACTGCAACCTCGATACATGCGACCTGGATGGCATGACGCCTCTTGCCCTAGCTGCCGCTACTAAATCATCATCTGAAAATCTGGAAATTGCCCAACTCTTGGTAGAGGCTGGTACAGATTTATATACAGATGACAGTCTGTTACTCAAAGCTGCAAAATCGGACAACCTACCCGTTATGAAGCTCCTTTTATCAAACAACTTTTGTTGGCGGCGATTGGAATGGTCCGAAGTCTTACGTGAATTCTCTCGACCGAGACGGAAGAACCATGAGATCGGATCATTACTACTAAGCTGGATTGATGTGGATCACGTTTTGAAGATCAATAATACTCAACGTTGCTATCTCTTGAGGGGAGCGATTGCCAATCGTCTTGACGATCTGTTAGAAAAGATATTGAATGAGTCGGCTGTCCTAGATGAAGACCACAAAGCGAACCGAAAAGGAATTTATTTGTGTCCTTTGAGCTTGGCAGTCTGCTATGGCCGACCTAGGGCTGTCAAGCTCTTACTCGACCACGGCGCTGACCCTAGTGGCGACGGTGACTGTCGACCTGTACAGTTTGCTCTAGAAAAAGGAAAGGATGTAATGGCGAGGCTGCTATTTAGCAAAGGAGCAACATTTGATCCGGAAACGTGTCGTGGGTCAGCCGAATACCGTCAATTGATGAGGCTTCGTATAGCTCGAGTACAAAGGAAACCTATTAATTAAGACTTATAGGTATCCATGTGATATGGAAGTTGTATATAGTATCAAATTATAGATTTAATTCCTTAGTTTCCATATCCATTTCAGGTTATAGACTTCTTACTTTTTGTTCCGTCATAGTTTGACTTAGTAGCTAATGTGGGCTTTACACTTTTAGGTGACCTATTCAACATATTTATTTCTTCGATAGTAGTAGAGAATGCTTAAACAAAATCTCTGATGAAAATCTACATACATACCTGGGTACTAAATCCAACTACTCGTTAGAACGTGGGTAAACCTTGCGCCAATAATAAATCCAAAGGGTCTTTTGTATGGTCAAAGAAGGTCTCTCCTTGTCCCAACAAGCGCCACAAGAAGCGTCAAAAGGGGCCATCGATGCTAATATATGAGCCTTGATTGTACTGATCGGAAGGTTTTGGTCAATATATTCTAACAGCATCTTGACCACACGGATATCATTTTTCCATGCGCTCCCGGCCACGGTCAAGGCGGACTTCCCATTTCTGTTCACAAAGAGAGGATCGGCCCCTTTCTCCAATAGAAGCTTTGTTGCTAGTACATCGCAGTCGGTACATTTGCCATCGAATAGTTGTAGTTTGAATCTATCTTCGTATGTGTTTCCCTTGGCTATTCTCCCAACGAAAGATTCAACATTGATAACATTTCTTCCAGCTACTCCCAAGATTGTGCAGGGCAAAGGCGTGTGTCCGCAAGAGCCAGTTAGCTGTTTGAGCTGTGCCCCCCGTTCTAGCAAAAGATCAACCGCAGCTTCTGCGGTGTTTCGATATTTCGCTTGAGCCACAAGACCGAGGAGTGTGCAACCTCTAGTTTCATCGGAGTCAAATAATAGGCCGAGTGTGCCATGGTCTAAGCACCGCACATCTAGACTAACCCGCATCCAAAAATATCCTCAATATAGGCACATTAGCTAGCAGAGCAGCACATGCGAATGCGCGGGAATGTCCAACGTAGCTCGGTTGTAGTTGTACTCCACGTTCGAGGAGTAATCTGAAGACGGTTTCACCTCCTAAGACTGCAAGCTGGATTGACAGACCATCATCTGAGAACGCAATATCTTTAATTGATGGAATAGAAGTCCCAAAAAGTATTTTAAGGATTTCCACTTTGCCCAGATAAAGTGCTCTTTTAAAAAGATCGTTCCCATGTTCTGACGCAAATACGACATCAAAGCCCTTTTTAATAAGGTACTTTACGACATCATCACGGCCCCGGTTAAGCGCGAGAATCATTGAAGGAGGGCAATCATCGGGGTCCCAGTTTCCATCTGTGTCTTTTTCTATAATTATTGCGGGATAAGTCACGGCGTGATCAAGAGATCTGCCCAGTCCAAGCAAAAACTCTATGTTTCGGATATCACCAGACGCAACAGCGAGACTCATAATATCTTTATGACCAAAGATACAAGTCCAGTTCGCGAAGATAGACGGCTCCGCTAATAGTAATCTCTCCATCAGATCCTCGAAGCCGCCAGCTATAGCGCCACATATGAGCTTACATCGTGCACCTTGGCTGAATTTGATTGTGTGGTTTAAATCAACCCTCTTCAAGAGGAGAGACGCCATTCTCTTGTGCTGTCCGGATATCTCATCAACCATGTTCAGGATGACTTCAGTATCAAAAGCAATGCCCTGTTCGAAAATGTAATTGACGAACGGCTCATTGCCAGTTTTCAAGCCAAGTGAAAATGGAGAATTGAATTCTCTATTCACGGGGTCAGCTCCGGAATCAACTAAAAGACGAACAATTTCCATAGTCGTGCTCGTAGCAGGAGCTGCGGCAACATGATGCAAAGGGGCCTCCCCAGACAGGCACGTAGCATTGGAATCACAACCTCCTGCAAGCAGAAGCTTGATGATGGGAATGTGCCTCTTCATGACCGCCAAGGATAATAATAGGTTGCACCACTCCTTTTTCCGGGGTGGTTCCACACATCGGTCGATAAATCCACTTCCAATTAAGAGACTGACAACTGAAGTGTGACCTTCTAGCACTGCGGCTGTCAATGGGTTTACGAAGGAGATAAGGGAATCAAGATCAGGGTGGGATTGGAAGCTATCCTCGTTGATCGCTGGAGTTGGGTCTCTTCCATGGTCGAGGAACATTCGGACAACACCAACATGACCATACTTTGTAGCCATTGTCATAGGATCATCCCGCTAGGTATACCAGCCGCAGGACAACGAATATTTTCCCGGGGACAAATCATTAAACCACGCACCTGCGTCTAGCAGCTTGCGAACACATAATTCCTTCCCGTTCGCGGCGGCCCACGCCAGAGGTTGAAGAGACTGCTCCGTCTTGAGAAGTTCGTCGACTCTGTCTTTTAACAATGTATACAAAAGAGGATGACACTGATAGAGGGAGCCGAGATCAAAAACAAATTCTAGATACGAAAAGACCTCTAGTAGCAGTTCAACGGGGACTTGAAGTAGCGACATCTTAATAGTAGACGATAATAGACAATGTGGATGAGAGGTGTTGGATAACTTCTGCTCTGTATGATAGTAAGTATGATAGTAAAAGCCTGCGTTGAAGTCTACATATGACTCATGTATAAACTTCAAGGTTGTCATTATGAGGGCAACTTGTCGTAGTGCATGTAAACAACAGGTCTTTTGCCAAGAAAATCTCCAAGAAATCGCCTTATCTTATCAGCAAAATTCTTTCCCCAACATCCGACATTCCCCTCTTTTGCCTTTGAACATACCACTTGTTTAGCCACATTCAATATGGCAGCTCAGACTACGGAGAAGTTGGATCAGTTGGACCGTAAGATTCCCAAATTCCCTGTTTGCTTTTTCCATGGGTGACTGATCAGATTCCAGTGGACGTCCAAGCCGCCCCCACGGCAGATCAGGTTCCCGCTGAGGCGGGGGAGGACTCAGACGACGCCCAAGAAGGCGAAGGTGCCGCAGAGGCTGGAGCTGCTGGAGGTAAGTTTTTGAGGCTTATTTTCGTGACTGCGCCTCCGGAACCCCACCCCACCCCACACAAGCCGGCCGGATTGAACTAACAGCGGGGTCAACTCTAGCCGACAAAAAGAAGAAGAAGAAGAAGCCCAAGAAGAAGAGCAAGAAGAAGGGTGGTGCCAAGGTTCAGAGCGAGCCACCGCGTGTCCCCGTGTCTAACCTCTTCCCCAACGGCCAATACCCCGAGGGCGAGATCGTCGAATACCTAAACGACAATGCCTACCGTACCACCAACGAAGAGAAACGATACCTCGATCGTATGAACAATGACTTCCTGCAAGAGTACCGTCAAGGTGCGGAGGTTCACCGTCAAGTTCGCCAGTATGCGCAGAAGAACATCAAGCCCGGCCAGACTTTAACTGAGATCGCGGAGGGTATCGAAGATTCAGTGCGCGCTCTGACAGGGCACTCAGGTCTGGAGGAAGGTGATAACATCAAGGGTGGTATGGGCTTCCCTTGCGGTTTGAGCATCAACCACTGCGCTGCGCATTATACTCCGAACGCGGGCAACAAGATGGTCCTGAACCAAGGAGACGTGATGAAGGTCGACTTCGGCGCGCACCTTAATGGCCGCATTGTGGACAGTGCTTTCACCATGACTTTTGACCCAGTATACGACCCTCTTCTTGCCGCTGTCAAGGACGCCACCAACACCGGTATCCGGGTAAGTTTTCCTGCTAATTTTTTGTTTCAAGCAGAGCTGACGGGGCTCTAGGAAGCGGGAATTGATGTCCGTATGAGTGATATTGGTGCCGCCATTCAAGAAGCTATGGAGAGTTATGAAGTTGAACTCAATGGCACAATGCACCCCGTCAAGTGTATCCGCAACTTGAACGGTCACAACATTGACCAGCACGTCATTCACGGTGGCAAGAGTGTGCCTATTGTCAAGAGCAGCGACCAGACTAAGATGGAAGAGGGTGAAGTTTTTGCCATTGAGACATTCGGTAGTACCGGTAAAGGTTACGTGCGAGAGGAAGTAAGTTTACTGTATTTACTGGGCCGAGAAACCAAAGCTAACATAGCCCCAGATGGAAACTTCGCACTACGCTCTCGCCTCCGACGCTCCTAACGTTCCCCTACGTCTTTCCTCTGCCAAGAACTTGTTGAATCTGATCAACAAGAACTTTGGCACTCTTCCCTTCTGTCGCCGGTACATTGACCGCCTTGGCCAGGACAAGTACCTTTTGGGCGTAAGTTAACGACGAAGTCCATATATGAGACATTGAAGCTAACAAAGATAGTTGAACAACTTGGTTTCTTCTGGAATTGTGCAGGATTACCCTCCCCTTTGCGATATCAAGGGCTCATACACTGCCCAATATGAACATGTATGTTTCTATTTTGGGAATCTCTCCACTTGGACTGTTTACTGACTTGTTTTTTTAGACAATTGTGTTGCGCCCGAATGTGAAGGAGGTTATTAGTCGCGGCGACGACTACTGATGTATTTCATAGACATTCATAAATACTAAAAGCATCTTTCCAAGAAATCTCCTATTAGTAATGTGTTAAATAGATTGGAGAGTCAAAACCCTGACATCAAAGCGCCGATCCTGCCAAGCCTCCAGCCATCAAGTATGCCGTGTCGCCCCACGTGGAACAACCGTCTTCCGACTTTTTAAATCGGCTCCTATCTCTCATGGCCTAAACTTCGACACATACCAATTTCCATCATGTCTGCGGTTGTTGAAACAAGTTCGCCGCACCTCCGGGTGTCGGCAGCCAAGGCATCCGACAAAACACAGCCAGAGTCCACCAGAATCCAGGCACCTGAGGCTTTAGTTGAGGACCATTTCTTCTGGACATACACCGAAGAGCCGCACCGCTCAAGACGGCAGGCAATTATTAAGGCCCATCCGGAGGTACGTGACCCTGTTTGAAAGGCCCCCATGGTGGTATGAGGGTTTAGCTGAGACTCCATGCGGAGCTTTGCGGAGTTCCGACATACACCTGGCCACTTTCATAGGCGACAGACAGCGTCAACAAATGCAATTGCAATGCTGATTCATGATATTCTGTGTCTATAGGTCACGAAACTATGTGGTCCCGAGCCTCTTACCAAATGGGTCGTCCTCGGCGTCGTGTCCCTCCAACTCACCTGTGCCTACCTCCTCCGCAACACCTCAATGCTCGATTGGCGGTTCCTGGTCACAGCATACGTGATCGGTGCGACTTGCAACCAGAATCTGTTCCTCGCCATTCATGAGATCTCACACAACCTGGCGTTCCGGTCCGCTTTCGCCAACCGGTTGCTCGCCATCTTCGCAAACCTCCCTATCGGACTGCCGTACAGTGCAGCATTCAGAGTACGTATACTTTTCCACATCCCAGAAACTAGAAGGACTCTAAGAGAAGCCATAACCTAACAAAACAATCATCAATAGCCCTACCACCTGACGCACCACAAGTCCCTCGGCGTAACAGGCCTCGACACCGATCTCCCCACAGCAGTGGAAGCCTTCTTCCTAAACTCCCTCCTGGGCAAAACCTTCTTCTGCACCTTCCAGATCCTCTTCTACGCCGTGCGCCCAATGTTCATCTACAGTCCCCCCTTCACCTACATCCACCTCCTGAACCTCGCCGTCCAAATAAGCTTCGACTACGTCCTAAGCAAACTATGCGGCAGCATGCAGCCAGTGCTATACTTCATAATGAGCTCATTCCTCGCCGGATCCCTGCACCCCTGCGCAGGCCACTTCATCGCAGAGCACTACTTCTTCTCAAACGTGAAGAACGGCGGCACAGAGTCTCTGACGGAGCTGAAGAAGAACGAAAAGCCCAAGGCCCCGCACCCGCTCGACTCCCTGCCTCCCCCGGAGACATACTCGTACTACGGCCCGCTCAACATCCTAACGTACAATGTCGGCTTGCATAACGAGCACCACGATTTCCCTGCTATTCCCTGGACTAGATTGCATAAGCTCCATGAGATTGCGAGGGAGTTCTATGAGCCGTTGCCTTGCCATCGGAGCTGGGTTTGGGTCATTTATACTTTCATCTTGGATAAGGATGTTGGTCCGTGGTGTCGTGTGAAGCGCGAGCAGGGTGGACGGATTGTTGGTGGTGGCACGAAGCGCGGTGGTGATTCTGCCGCGTCTAAGCAGTGGAATGGACGTGGTGGTGAGGGCATCTCGGCTGCGTCGGCGGGTCCGGCGGGTGAAGAGGGTGATGGATGGAAGGAGAGCGAGATTCAATGTTAGATTTTGTTCTGCCTTGACGTCTAGTCTTGAATCCTAGCTGTTCAGTGACATAAATTATTGGATGGAGTTCTTGTGTTTGGTAGATATATTTATTTACAATAGAATTGGCCTGTCATTTCCGGTGCTTGCGTGTAAAACCCATTAAGGCGCGAGGACAGAACCGAATGACTGCAATCAACCAATTACCAAAGAAGGGAGACAAAGTCCCCAAGTATGTACGACATGGACTTAGCTCTAGTAGCAATCACATGAATTATGCCGAGCTCAAGAATGATTTATGAAACAAAAAGAAACGATCGAGAGGCTGAGTCCGTTCATCATAAAATGATATTAGACAAGACAGGAAGGGTAAAAACAAAGGAAAGCGACGACAACGAGGATAAGACGGACAGACGTCCGGCTTCAAGGGGAGTTTGGGAGCCCAGGGAAACAACATGAAAGTAGAGTATGGATACTGGGGCGGAAAATTCAAAGCAAACGCAGAGAAAGGCTGATGCTAGAACAGATAGAAAACGGCATGCTCTTCAAGAGACAAAAAGTAGATGGGAATTTGGGAGAGGCGTCAGCGACGTTAGACCGGAGGCATTGAGCTCACAGAGAGGAGGTGCAATGAATCCAGATTGACCGTGAGAAAGCGACAAACAGGAGACGAGCTTAGAAGAAGAAGTATGCGATCAAGAAGCTGACCAAGCAGAGGCATGCTACACCCTTGATCGAAACTCCACTGGACGCCGGCGCATGTGACTGCTGCAGGGTGGCAGGCACAGCCTTGCTGGTGGCCTCTCCGCCGGTCTTGCGCTGCCGCAGTCCTTCGTCTGCGAGTCGGTCCTTCAGTCGCTGGATCTGGGCGTTGGCTTCAGACAGCTGGGATTTGAGGTCCTCGTTTGAGGGAAGAGCATCGACGGCGGCGGATCTGGCATTTGAAATGGCAGATGCGGGCTCGTGCTGGGGAGACTGGGACTTCTT